GACTAGATCCAAATGAAAAGTTGTTCTTAGGATGCTCTCGAGGATGAAAGCAGCCATTGTGTTTGTAACGTGCAACCACGAGCTGCTGCTTTTTTAGCCCTGTTGGAGAAAAACTATGTAAAACTACACGGGCGTGGAAGTTTGACACGGCACCTACTGTGTATCTTGTAGTCCAGGCTGAAACTATCGCCCAGGACAAGCTGACATGTTGTTGTGGTCTCAGACTGGACAAAAGTCTGGGACAAACAAGAGGCTGAATATATCTGTAGTAAAATGAAACGAAAGCATCTGTAATGAAAATTGAATGTTTCATATTTGATATCAAGCAGCTGATGTGATTTCAACATGTTTGTCATATGACAGAAATGTAGCTGTGCTGTGACAGGCTGTTTGTGACCCAAACTTTTCTGTGGCTTCTGTTTGTTGGCTCTGCTGCAGACGAGGTGGCCCGTGGCCTTTGAGTGGCTGCTGATGGCTCAGAGTAGCAACCCTAATTTTTATTGAATGGATACAAAGTTTCTTGCTGCTGGTGACGAGCAGTCATGTATCCCAGACTTGACAGAAGAGGTTAAGAATACAAAGTTACTGACACAGCAGGGAAATGTTTGTCATTTCTGCTGTTGGAAATAAAACATAAACCAGTTTTTGCAGATTCTTTTTCTAACAACTAAACCTACAAACAAAAGTCGTCTTTTCTGCAGTGAAGATGCTATTTTCATACTTCCCATCTGCATTTAGGATACGGGATCTTTTCTTACTGAAACAAATAAGGATCAAGTACTTTGCTAGAGGAACGAGGTCAGCTGAGGTGCTGTACGCTCACCTTTACCTGCCAGCTTCCTGTCCTCTGCTCACTGATGACTTCCATATATTTGTGTCCGTGTTTCCTTTTCCCTGCCAGTCAGCATTACTGTTTGTAACTGAGAGGTGTCCCTGCTTTTCTTTAGTTTCTCAGATCAGCTCCTCGTGTTTAAAATGAAACTGAGCATGCTATTCAACCACTGATCTTCAGCTAGCTAAGCTCTCGTTAAATCCTCTAAGCAGAAAGTGTTTCTCCGTGGAAAGGCAAGCTGAAGTCAGCCCAACATTATCTCTCAGCTTTGGAAGACGTGCAGATGCTGATTGTAACGGAGTCGTTATGTTAATGCTTGTTCTGACCTCCTGAGCGCTGAGCGTGCATGAAGAGTCCACGACACGTGTGAACTGCACTGTTCTGGTGTCAGTGAAAAAGCAAAAACAACGAGCATTATATTAGCAGTAAATGAGATCAGCACTGACCAGTAGGGCTGCCACAATCGATTATTCTGATAGTCGACTAGTCACCGATTATTTTTGTGATTAGTCGACTAATCAGATCATCATCCATTGGACGTAAAACTACAGCTTATTGCACCAGCAGCATCTGCTCTTATATAACTATCATTAGCTTACAGCTTTAATTGTTTAAGGTGCTAACTAAAAATAAAGACAAGATGATAGTTTATTACATTTTAATGAAATCTGCAGATTGTTTCGGTGGAGTTTAATAAACTCCTTGCTATCTAAAATATAACAGGACACCGGAGTATATTCTCCAGCATCTCACACTTCTGATAATCAGCTGTCTGCTTGACGTTTATTCAGCTGTGTAAAAACTATAACTTTAATCTCAGCCAAACCGATTTACTCAGGAACAAATAAAATACTAAAAAAGCCAAACAATAACATGTTAAGTTATCTAAGTGACTCATATATCATGTTTAACCTGAGCAGTGAAAGACGGCGGTGGGTTTGAAAACGATTTGCCGGGAGTCCGGTGTTCTCACGGCTCTAGTGACCCTTGACCTCCCAGCTAGCTATCGAGCTAGTGGGTAACAGACGCCTCCGAAAACGTCGGAGCGCTTTTGAAAATATGCGGTGTCCTGATAAACTGAGCAGATATTTGAGGTTTACACAGCTACATTCTCGCCTGAAAATATGTTAAACGTTTATTTTGTGACCCAGAAAGAATAATAAGAGTAATATTAAAACTAACTAGCTGCCGCCATTGTTGGAAACTGAGCTGGGCCGCGCTATGAATTCTGGGACACAGCTGCTTCTTCTTCTTCGGGGTTTAACGGCAGCTGGCATCCTTGTACATGCAGTGCTGCCATCTTCTGTTTCAGTCCGTTATTACACTCTTAAATCCTGCTACTTATTCCTGCGTCTTTTGGGATCTTACAAAGCTTCAAACGACGTGTCGACTATTAAATCAGCCGTCGACGATTTTGATAGTCGACGTAATCGTGACTAGTCGACTAATCGTGGCAGCCCTACTGATCAGTAAGCATGAAAACAAACAGAGCTGTTCCATATCACTCACAGTGTCCTTTAGGTGAGTCGACCTCGTACTGACAAAGGTTCAAACAGTGAACCGTGGGAGTGGACCCATGATTCAGTCTCTGTTGATGAACCCTGCCCACAGTCAGTAAACTGGGCCTGTGTAATTAATAGTATAGGTTCTCATATGCTCAGTGAAATATAATAGAAATACTTTAGAAATACAGTGTTGTTAGTAATGCACAGGCTAAGTGCTGTTAACCAAAGGTGGTCATTTCCAGATACTTGTGATCAGAGCAGTGAGTGCTGCTCTTCTTGAAGTGTAATTGCATCTCTCTCTGTGACTCATTAGGCCAAGCGTCTGAAGAGACAGGAGCTGTTTGCCAGAGAGGGCCTGACGTGGCAGAAGATTGTCCATTTCTGCACCGAGCATCAGGACAAAAGTCAGCAGCAAGCTGCCAGTCAGGAGCTGAAGAGCCTGCTCCTGGCAGCCAAACAGATGGGTAAGGAGGCACACCTCAGCTGTAACTCGTGTTTGTGTGAAGCTGGAGAAGCGTTCATGAAAACCTCAGAATGCCTGTTTCTGTTTATACTCATTAAAACCCTGAATAAAGAAGGGCGGGGCCAAAATGACATCATGCAGTGTTGGTAGGTTATATGTGGGGGAATTCTCTGCAAAAGCAACATGGAAGATTTTGCAGGTAGTTTTAATGGCTGTACTCTATCAGCTGTTAATGTGATCATGTGGTTATTGTACTGTTCACACGTCTTCCATGTGAAGGTTCAAACACAGAGCAGCTCAAACCAAACAGCATGTTTGATGGCAGAGTTAAAGTCTGTCCATGTGTTACTGAGCTCTGAGGAAACCCTGCGAGGATCTGATTGGCTGCTCACTGTTCACCAGCCAGACTAACAGTGTGTGTGCTCGTTTGTGTGTTGGAGCTGCCCTCAAACTGTGTGACTAGATCCAAATGAAAAGTTGTTCTTAGGATGCTCTCGAGGATGAAAGCAGCCATTGTGTTTGTAACGTGCAACCACGAGCTGCTGCTTTTTTTAGGCCGTTTTAATTGGTTTAAATCCTTTTCATCTGTTTTCACTTTGCCTCTCCAGCCTTCTTTGCTCTAGTCTGCCTCTGTCCTTTTGACATTTTTTCCTCTAATTGGACAATTATGCTGCATTTCTTTTTTTTTTCTTTTTTTTTTAAGTGCAGTTCTGCTAAAGTATGAATTGTTTGGAATAATATTTAAATGAGGTGCAGGAACAGTTAGCTCGTGTTTGGCCTTTCTTAGAGCTGCCGACTCTTTCTAGCACTATTAATAGTGCTGTGCACAGATTTAATGGCCATATAAAGCAGTGCTGCTGTCTAGGCACAGCTAATGGTAATAGAAAGGGTAAAGGTGATTGTTGCAGCAATCCTAATAATCGTCATCATTAAAATGATAATCATTACATCCATTTTCCCTTAAGATGGAAATTCTCCTTTCTGCCAGTGTTTGGGCCACACTGGGTTTTAAGGAAGAAAAGGAAACCAGGTCCGTTCCTCACAGGGCAGCTAGTGTTTAATGAATCCTGTGGGTTATAAACCTCACGTGGACGTTACTGACAGAAGCTCCGGTCATGCTAACAGCTGAAGCCAGTCGACTGATACTGCTGGCAGTATGTGACTGCTGAACAACATCATGCATTTAAATGAGTCGATTGATTAGTGACTGCGTCCTTCTTTCCTGGCATTATTGGCTTTTTATGACTTGACATTATAACAGAGTTCATGTAGAAGGTAGAGTTTGGTGTTTCTCTGGGGCGGGTACAGGAACATCCATGGGTTTCTGGACAGTGACACACTTTTAGAGTTTTACTTCTGTATACTCGAACAGTTGATTTGATTGCAGTGCAGCGTGGACACCCAAGTCTGTGAATGCAATGACTCAAGAACGGGGCAGCTTTGATGAGTTCGAATCTCAGTGACTTCAACCCTCGGGTTGGGGTTTTTGAAAATCTTGTCGTGCCACAATCTTGGGCGATCGTGGCTCAAGAGTTGGGAGTTCGTCTTGTAATCGGAAGGTTGCCGGTTCGAGCCCCAGCTTGGACAGTCTCGGTCGTTGTGTCCTTGGGCAAGACACTTCACCCGTCTACTGGTGGTGGTCAGAGGGCCCGGTGGCGCCAGTGTCCGGCAGCCTCGCCTCTGTCAGTGCGCCCCAGGATGGCTGTGGCTACAATGTAGCTGCCATCACCAGTGTGTGAATGTGTGTGTGACTGGGTGGATGACTGGACGTGTAAAGGACTAGTAAAAGCGCTACAGAAATACAGGATATTTACCATTTGTCAGTGTCATAACTCAGGCAGGAGGCTGAGGGTAGAACTGGCAGCTGTGCTTCGAATAGTTGGATGTGCAGGTTTGTTGCAGTTGGGAGCGTCTACAGCCAGGTGCAGTGTTTGCTTCCATGAGAAGCTCAGCCACGCCTTTGCTGCAGTTGCCTTCAGTTGTTGCATGTTTACAGGTGTCTCTACCTTCAGTTCGTCTCGAGTCTGGAAACCTATTTTGGGTTGCAGTCAGAGTTCGATGCCTTTACAAACTCTTGGTTCTTGCAAATATAAAATGACCAAAGTGTGTTTTTGTTCAAACATGTGTGGACCCAACTGTAAATTCTGTGCATAACGCTGCAGTGCTAACTGTGGTGTGCATGTGCTTGTTCCACAGTGGCTTCTGAACTCGGTCAGGCGGTGGGTGAAAGCGCAGCCGTGTTCCTGTTTGAAACCTTCCACAACAAAGACCACGTTGGTACAGAGGAGACTCGGGCCATCAAACACATGTTCGGTCCCTTTCCATCATCGGCAGCTGAAGCGTCCTGCGCCTCTGTGGGTCGGCTGGTGGCTTTGCTCGGTGACTCCCGAGTCGAAGACTTTATCCAGAGCCAACGCTCCTGCCGCAACCTGGACCGAAGCGCCGCTTTTGGGCGCAACATTGCTTTCTCACATGACGGTTACACACTCGACCCACTGGAGGGGCTGCCCTTCTCCGGTATCCAGGAAGAGAGTGCCAGCTTGGATTTCATCAACTTTTTCAACAACCAAAAGAGCGGCAAGACGGGCATCAGTGAAGAGGCTCCGTCCAGTACAGAAAGCCCCCTGACCCCGGGGGATGGCTCCATCCTTAGAACAGAAGTAGATAAATATCTGTGTGGAGGCAACATGATGTCATCCAACCCAGAGGAGCTGTGCACGTCTCTGTTTGAAATGCTGGCCTCACACAGGAGCAACGATGAGCTGCAGAACGAGGTCTGTACCACTGGTCTGTTCGTATTAACCCTGAAGGTTAGGTCAATATATAACATGCACATTAATAGAAGTCACTGGAAAGTAAGGAACTCATTTTATGCAGAAGTGTTGACTGAAGTTGGTGTTTCAGGGTTGTTTTTATCCTCACACATCATCTTCACATCATCAGAAATCAGTGCCTCTGTCATATTTAATATCTGTCTGCACTGTTTCTTCATGTGGACCAATCAGATTGTTTGTACAGATTCACCAGTGCTACAGCGTCTACACTGGTTGTTATGGTAACTTGGCTTTGCAAACACTCAGGAATAGGACATGCATCATCCTGCCCTAGACCATCTAGTACGAACCCCACCTCTAAAGCACCATCTGCTGTCATGTCGTCCTGCACGGTGCTCAGCTCGTAGCAGGCTTGGAGGTCATCCATACGCTTGATTATAAACCTGACAGACTGTTGTGATGCTTTCATCACTGCATTTCTGTGAAGTTTGACCTCTCCCACTGTTATGTTTATTGTTGTGCAACATCTATTGATTCTATCACGCTGACCTTCAGCAGCACTGGAGTTATCATGTCCTGGCTGTTAAACCATACTTGGCCTTTACCTCTGCACATTTCAGACTTGTACATTTTGACCTTCAGTGGCAATAAAGACCTGGAAATATTAGAAGCCTAATGTGCACACAGTTAAGACCATAAGGAGAGATGTACCAGTGTTGCCAGTGCCTGACTAGGGTTTGTTTTTCCCCACTGTGTGACCTGGGACACTGATTAGAACTATTAGAAAATGATAGCAACAGTGTTACAGTAAATTCACCAGGTAACAGGATGTGGACCCTTTTGTCTTTCACTTGTATCCATAATTTTCCTGATAACTGCTTTGATCCTTTGCCCATATCAAGGCTCTTACTGGGGCTGCTGGTGTGTGCTTGGATATGAGCTGTGAACACACGGAGCTTTAGCTGTAGGTGTCAAAGGGATTTCAAGGTTTGATTGTGTTTGTTGTTGTAAGGTTTTCGTTGTATTGCTGTTCTCTTTGGTCACAGGTCGAGGACATTTCAGTCCCTCTCTGTCCACGGGTATTTGAACACATCTTTGACTGTGGTGCCAAAGAAACGATGCATTCAGTGCACGTTTGCTGGTGTTTGTTTTTTAGTAGATTCTGCAGTGAAATCATCTAAATGATTAGTATAATGAATACGTGTGTTCACACCAGGGCTGTGTGGTCTGTTCTTCCTCTTCATTGAGTGCAGACACAAACACCCTTTGGAGACGTAGTGTCGGCTCCAGTTTAACTCCAGTGCTGTTCCTTCATATCGTGAACATGACCACAGTAAACACACTGTAGGTGTGAAAATGGCTGTAAATATTCACTTTGTCAAATCAAACGTATATTTTTGGAATTTCATTTTGTCTCAAGTCTGTGATTTAACGATGATGAAAACAAAGAGTGGAAATGAAACCTGAGCTCAGCGGTGATGCAGATCATGTGCTGGTGTGTTCAGTGTGGCAGGGGTGCACTTGTTGCCGTGCTGTTAGCCATCAGCTGTCTATTCTGAAGCCAAGGGAAGGAAAAGTGTTGCATCAATACAAAGGTATTTAGAGATAGTGATGAACTTATATTCACAGTTTAAGGAACAAAAGCAAAGTGTTCCTCGGGAAAAGCAGGATGAGTGTAAAAGCAGTGACTGCCATTAGCTGTGTTTCTTCTGTCAGCAGCTGAATGATCACTGCGTGCTGCTGCGCCTCTTCATATTTGCCTCAGGGTCGTCACCACAGTAGAATTTCAAACTCGGCTGTATCACAGGGAAGATGTTTACCTCTGCAGCTACACCAGTGTTGGTGAAGAACTCCTTTCTTAGTCAACTTGTTCATTTTCACCATCGATCGTGGTGATACATTTTACAACCTACTAATAAATGAATGGGTGAGCAAACAGCACAGTACCTAACATGCACATATTTTCATTATTGTAGAACAAGAGTTAAGAAAGTTAAAATATGAAACGTCACTGTCAGCCGTGCAGCTGGCTACAACCAGACGACACATCAGCCTGCAGCTCTGCATCCTCAGCTGTGCCTGTGTCCTGTTGGTCTGCTGTTCACTTTATCTCATGCTCTGGACTCAGCTGTGGTGCACCCACTGCTCTGCACATCTGGTTCTGCTCTGCACATCTGGTTCTCTGTGTGTCTGTAATCCACTTTGCCTTGGTTCAGTATTTTACAGCCACTGTGTTAATGATGAATGATGGTGGCTCTCAGGTCATTGCTTATCTTGGACAAAACTGTTTAATACTTCAGTGTTGATGAAACTGAAGCTCTACGGACACGTTTAAATTCCTCCTAACATGAACATGAAGGAGCTGTTAGTGAGGGGCGGAGCTGTGTGTCCGCCTCAGTCATGTGCTTCTTTCTTTTCCGAGTCTCATTGTCAGACCAGTAACATCTGGATGTGACTAAATTTGTACTGCAAAGACTTTGTGTGCTATTGTGTAGAGTTTAGCTTGTTGTGCTGAACGTCTGCTCCATGGAAACATTATCTACATCCTGGAAAGCATACAGTCACAAAATAATCAGCATAGCTGATGTTCTTTAAGCATAAAGTGCAGCACAGCATAAAGCACAGAGTGGACACGAGGTTTGTGAGTGCAGTAACTTGAGCTCGACACCACAGCTGTGTCTGCTAAACTGTTTTAACCTTCATTTACCCACAAAGTTGATTCTGTTCATCTGGAGTAACGTTCGTCACTCATCAGCTGACTTCTTCAGTCCCAGCTGACTGCAGGTTTCCAGCCTTATAAGCAATGACTGAAACCAGCAGCAGTGGCTGTGAGGTTCCTGATCATAATATGCAATAATTTCATAACTGTCATGACCAGTGATCACAGAGAGCTGGGGAATGGTTCCTCAGCTCTCTGCAGTCTGAAAACTCCACGTCCAGATGAACAGAATCAACCTTTGTGGGGTTTCTTGCCTGGATGATTGAGCATCAAGACTGCCCTCAGTTAGTTTTTAGCTCTGCCGCTGACAGACAGCTCCACCTCAGTCTAAGTGGGAACTGTTGTCTCTCGGTGAACTTCAGTGAACCAGGATCAGAATACTTTATTAATCTCTAAGCACATTATGTGGGTTACAGTTGCTCCAGGACAGTAACAGACGAACTATTTAAACAATGCAATATGTTACAGAATTTTCAAATGTAAGAAATCGCACCAATATTTACAGATCACTCAATAATAAATATCAGGGACTAACAGAGGTCATTATAAATAAATATCAAGAATACTGAGATGATTTGCTGTGTCATTCTGTGGTGCATTATGGGTAATCTCAGTCTCTCACTGAGCGTGCTCCTGTGACTAGCCAGCACGTGTTTTTATATTTATATTTTATATTTTTGACGTAAGCGTTGTATGACGTGGTGAAACAGCAGCCCTGAAGAGTGACAGCTGTTTAAATGTCCAAACACTGGAGTGTAAGTTTTTGTGTGAGGGATTTGCTGTGCAGCTTTGGGGTTTGTTTGGATCTACATCTTCCTGTGTAAAGCAGATTAGGCTGCTCGTTGCACGGGTCTGTTTCTCACCCTATTTGAACCTCTAATTTGCTATTCTTCACATTCTTATGGGAAGCAGGAAACCATTTTGTGCCTGTGGATTTTCAACACTTCACTTATATGTCCAGGCTTTCATCTGCCCCTACCCCACAGCCCTTCTATCAATTTAGCACAGAGTCAGAATTGTACAACTTCAGCTGATTCCAGTTGCTTCCAATGTTTCTCACGTAGTTGACATTTGGAAGCCAACTTTCCCACAGACATCCTCAGGTGTAGACTGCTGTGTGTGTGTGTGTGTGAGCAGAGACACACACGGAAACACACTGTGAGAGTGCACCTGCAGGCTCTCTATGCATCTACCTCTGTGTGACTCCAAAGTCAACACTAAAGTTTAAAGGCTTTGCACTCTGTGGCATTAAAGCCAACAATGGAGAAACTCGCTTCTTATTATTTCTCATTGGTGACCTTGGATTGCTGACATTTTGTGGTGGGTGCTGAGTGCAGGCGGGAACCGCGGACTGCAAAGCCATTTAGTTACATACAGATTTGGTCATGTCATTTCATGGTGAGGGGAGTTCAGTACAGTAGCAGGGAGATATCTCAGAAACTTTACATCTTTATAATTTTAAGCTTAAGTTGACTTCTTCCATTAGTTACTACTCATATCAACTGGTTTTCCATTACAGCTGATTACCACCTAATATGCGTGGTCATCGTCATAGCAACGCGGCCGAGTGTCCTGTGACGTAATTGGTATACGACACAAACCATAGAACAAAGATGGAGGTGGAGGCGATGATACACCTGCTGCTCGCTCTGTGGCTTTTCGTCATACTCTGGGACCACGCCGTTGGTTTTGTAGCCATCTCCCTCATCGCCGGGTTTCAAAAATGGTGGTTTTGATTTTTGTGCATGAGACTCTCTCATGTCTCATCGAGTGACGCCACTGATGAGCCAGTTGCTAGCATGCGGTCTGACGACATCACATTTTAGTACCTGCTCGGATCGCTTGGAATCCTGGCTGTGCAGGAACTATTTTAGTACCCGGTACCAAGTACTATGACCTAATGAAAACCCCGAAAACTGTGAACAGTCGATCCGAGTAGGTACTAATGGAAAACAAGTAGGCCTGCAGAGCAAGAGCGAAGAGCTCTAATAGGGTGATATGGTACTACAAGGTCATTAAGATAAGATGGGGCCTGATTATTTAAGACCTTGTATGTGAGGAGCAGGATTTTGAATTCTGGATTTAACAGGAAGCCAAAACAGGAGAAATCTGCTCTCTCTTTCTAGTCCCTGTCAGGACTCTTGCTGCAGCATTTTGGATCAGCTGAAGGCTTTTCAGCGAGTTTTTAGGACATCCTGATAATAATGAATTACAGTAGTCCAGCCTGGAAGTAATAAATGCATGAACTAGTTTTTCAGCGTCACTCTGAGACAGGATATTT